GTTGTATAGTTGTCTCTGTCACTCATTAGCTCTGACCCTTAAAGCCGAGTTCAGTGTGGGAGTGGAGTGTTGGGTGTGGAAAGTGGATTGTGGGAGTGGAATTTGGCGAGTGGATTGTGTGGAGTGGTGAGCCCCCCCTTCCCACCCCAGCTTTTTTCAGGGACATGCCACTCACACTAGGTAATGCGTACGCCCCTATAAATATGTAACAAACAATTATTTTATTTTTTTTGCACACTGCTCACAACAGCGGGATATCTCCCCCTCCTGAAAAAAACAACAACATATCACTGCAGGGGTGCCACTCACTGAAAGCTGTGAACCCTGAAATCCCTTTCTAAAAATTTCTTGAAACCTGAAACTTCATTTACAAATTTTTCAATCCCTGAAACTTAATGAAACTCAAAATTCCTGATTATCGCAATGCGGCGTTTTTGTTGAATAATATAAAAACAACCAGGAAATTGTCAAATAAAACATTGAGATACATCACAAATGAACAAAATTAAACAATTAAGGTGTATACATGTAAATATTTATTAAATTTCTTTGCAGTAACAATTTTTCAATTTACTTAGACTTGAAAAGTCAACTTTTGCATTGTGTTCCCTGGGCATTTTGGAACAAATGTATAGCTACCACAAGTGGAAAGCATATTTTCTTATATGGAGTTCATGTTCTCTTCTTTAATGATGAAAATGGATAGTTTGAGTCAACATACTTTAGTGATTAGTCTCTATAAAATATCCCAAGTGTGAGAGTTTCATAGTTTGACACATAAATTTCATAAATTGAGAAGTTACAGAAGTGGAAACCTAAGATAGGTGATAAAGCTGGTATCATCAGATGATTGACTCAGACAATCTCCCCTTGAATACTTCATATCAATATTTCCAGCATAGTATTCATTGATGAATTATTTAATCATGATTGCCAATTGTAGACTGTAGGCTAACTGCAATGCCCATCAGTTCTTTTAAGTTAAAGGAACTGTTGGGCATTACATTATTTTATTGAGCCTAGATCCTGAATATTGAAACAAAATAAAATATATTATCATATTAGATTTATAATTTATAGTAAGGCATAGATAATAAAAAATATAGACTATATTATACCAGTAATAAACTACAGCAATACAGAGCATTATGAATAATTAAATTAGTAATAGACTTAATAGTAGAATTACTGTAAATTGTAAAGACTAATAAATACTAAAGTATACCCAGAGTCAGAACACAGGCGCGCATAACTAATAAATAAAGACTCACTAAGTACAGTTATGTCAGGCTCACTACAGAACGGATAAAAATAACTTAAACATATTAGTCTAATCAAAATTAGAAGGCTTACTCCGTAATTAAATGTAAAGTTAACTTAAGAAGTCTTTTTTAACAAGTTAAACGACGCTTAGCTCTTCTAATAAAAAAAAAATACATGTAGCCTGCATACAGTAAAACATAACAAAGTACGCTAAGCTTAGTCTTGTTAGGCAACGCTTGGACGAGTAGTTTTCTATTTGTGATAGTGGCTACCCAACAATTTAAAACTAAATTAAAAAGATTTTGCAAGATTATTTACTAAATTTTACACTCTGCTTACCCAAACACTTCAAATATCTCTTGATCGGTGACGTGAACAGAAAATAAATATTTCTGGTCTATCGAAGTAGTACGGTACTGGAAACAAGTAGTGTAAAGCTCAATGCGCATGCGCGAGGGGAAATCACTAGCGCTCTGACAACAGAAAGGCTAAAAATAGACGTGATCGGCGATTTACGTCCATTTTCAAGGTTTTTCGCGAATTCTGTTACACTTTGATTTTTTTCTTTTAAACCCAGACAGAATCCGTATTTGAATAAATTGAACTGGCGAATCCGGAATGAGAGAATATAAAAACTCGCGAATCCGGAACTGAAAAATATTTAGACTCACGAATCCGGAATTCCGGGATAACCCGGAAAAGTGGCACCCCTGCATATCACTTACCTTGACCTTTGGCCTTGGTGCCCAGCATTCTGGCGATCCCGGCCAAACCTCCGCCGGTGCCCCTGACCCCAGTGGCAGCACCGTTGACGTTCCTACCCCCGGCGGGAGCGGTGGACGCCCCGTCCTTGGCGGACAATGAAGACTTCCTCTCCACGCTCACTTTCCTCTCCTTCTCTTCCATGGCGGTGCCGGCGCTGGTCAATGTTAGCTCACAGAATCGCTCAGCAGCAGACAAGCCTTTTCCCTACCGCAACGACACAGTTTGCGTTGACGACTTTCACGAATGGTCCAACAGTGACAGAGTAAGAATCCAATTTCACACATCACTTAATGAAAACTGTTCATGCCGGTCTAAAAAATGATGAATCCGAGTAAAATAGGGTTTTAAATTTTGATGAGATTAATCAAAATAGTTTAAATTAACAATCGTCGCCGGTTGATGCAATATTTTCCTTAAAACTGTTTCCTGGCCAATTCATCAATGAAAAGCTTCAACGACTGAATCAAACTGGGCAGGTTAGATTTTTCATGGAAGACGCAAACCTTAGCCTTCTGTGGTCATGAAAAACCAGCGTTTTCATACTAACAAGCATATAACATAAAATTTTAATTATAGTTGATCTCTAGGACCACTTAAGCAAACATCAATGATCTAAAAGATAATAAGTTAATAAGTGCAAATAAAAGCGCTGAAGGATGATAAAGGTTGACAGGAGAGTTTTTAACTAAGCACAGACACAGGTTTGTGGTGTAAAATCAGTGCGTCTTGTGTAGAGCCAACAAAGTAGAAGAGAACCATCTCTCAGTGTCACGGCCGTCCAGCCGGCTTCTGGCACCATCTCGAGGGCCGATTCAGACAACTGCATCCCTCAGAATGAACCGCACCCGCATACGATTCTTCTTGGATACCGCTGAATGTCTTAAAAGTTTAGTCCGCTTCTGTGCTACCATCATTTATTTTCAGCCTGGTACGAACACATTACAATTTACTCGAAGGAGAGTGAGTCGAAGGTGAGAGAAGAATTTTATTTATTGCATTCTTTTTACTGAAGAGAAACACCGGAATTCAGATACCAATGAGGATGGGATGCACAGATGATGACAGACTATTATTGAAAACTTATGGCCATGGCAGTTTCTGCTGTCGCAGATCTTACAAAAAGGATCTCAACTCTCAACTGTGTGTTGAGTGGATGAAAGTTTGTATAAAAGCAAGTGCTCACATGTTCAGAAAATATATCATATCTACAGAGTTCAAGGGGTGGGTCAAAAAGGATTCCAATCTCTAAATATCCAATAGTGTTACAAACAAGAAAATTAGTATATAGATTACACTTTTTTTTTTAATAATGAAAAATATCTTTCATCCTTTCCTGGATATACGGTTAGTGGGCTACAAGTAGCTGGCACCTAAAATTGACTTAGTCACCAACAGGAAGTTCAAGCCGCCAAACACCTGGCAAGATGGAAGGGGATACAAATTACTCAAGAAATAAAAAGCATGTCTTTTTTAAAAACGGATGGATATGAACGGAGCACGCCTGTATAATCTTCAGCGGGCCTCACACCTTGCGGCAGATCCCCCAGCCGGGCCTCCCTGCGAGGCCTCCGAGGTATTAGAAGTGGAAAGAAGAATACAATCGGCGTGACGATTGGTCCTATTTTTAAAGTAATAGGTCTGATATCATTTCCGGAAAATACGGTTCATGGGCGCTGAAACGGAGAGTAGCTCAATTCAAGGGCGTCTATCTCCCTGTGATGAAAGATACCCCCCCCCGCTCTCCACCCACCCCCAGACTTTGGACTTGGCAAAGTATGTATGTGGGTCATGCCAGTCATATTTCATTGGTGTTTAAATCGTGAGAGAGCTACGAAAGTATTATTAATAGAAAAATTTACATTTAAAAAAAATTGTTAGAACATTGTTGACTTTTCATTAGTAAAATTGATAACAAACTATTACAATGTCACTAAAAGCTCAAAAATTCTTCACATTTTTCAGCAAATTAAATATCAAATACATGTACTATCCAATATATGTAACATCAAATACATGTACCATAAAATGAATGTACTATAAAATACATGTACTGTGATTATTAAAAAAAAAAAAAAAAACACATTTTACTAGGCCTAGAATTTCTTTGTTGGTTTTAACGTAAAAATTCAATGTTTGGTCCAGCGGCTGGGAGACTGTGCAGTCTCCACGATTTGTTCCATGTTAGACGACAGAAGTTCAATTCCCAGCCTAAGTCTGAAATTTTAAAATATATAATTTTTTTTGCCTCTTGACGAACCACCCTCGCCAAAAACAATAATAAAAATGGTAAAAATATAATAAAAATATGACTATTTGTGTTGTTTTATTTCCAATATAAATTTTGTTACACTGAGAAATTCAACATCTGGCCAGATTACCCCCCCCCCCACCAACTCCAAAATATTAGAAAGGAAGCATGTACATTTTATCCCAACACAAATCCTATTATAACCCGGGTAAAACTGGGTCATACCCTCTGGTACAGTGGCTCTCAACCTTTCTAATGCCACGACCCTTTAATACAGTTTCTCATATTGTGGTGACCCCTCTGCCATACATTATTTTCGTTGCTACTTCATAAATATTTGTTTTCCGGTGGTCTAAGCGACCCCCGTGTAAGGGTTGTTGGACCCCCCAAAGGGGTCGCGACCTACAGGTTGAGAACCGCTGCCCTAGTAAGACAATATAATAGAGACTGCTTTTTAGTTCAAGCCGTGTGCATTAAGGACGGGATGCAGCGGCATGTGTAACAGTAAACGAACAAGACAATCAAAAGAAAGTTTCGGCCGAATGCCTTTTGTGTCCTGCTGACACAAACCAAAGAAAACAGAGAATGAGACCAAAACCCCAATGTAGAAGACAATGAGACCAAAACCCCAATGTAGAAGACAATGAGACCAAAACCCCAATGTAGAAGACAATAAGACCAAAACCCCAATGTAGAAGACAATGAGACCAAAACCCCAATGTAGAAGACAATGAGACCAAAACCCCAATGTAGAAGACAATGAGACCAAAACCCCAATGTAGAAGACAATGAGACCAAAACCCCAATGTAGAAGAAAGGTGACAGGAAAATGACTATGACATAAAGCTGCAGGTATCATTAAGTGACGAGATCAACGCGTATTTTTCTATGTCTCAAACATCTCTTTGACACAGTTAAAGATGAAAGAAAAGATTCCATATACCAAGAGACACACCAGGGCAATCATTATTATTGCCTTAATGACGGACTTCAAAACAAGCTTAATGAAGTGCTTAAGACAAGACTGCATGGCGGATTTAACGGCCTTGATGGTCGAAGAAAAGTCCATAGAAAAAATAATACACACGATGGCCGTCACGATGGCCGCCACAATAACAGATATGATGCAGGCCACGGCGACAGACCCGATGAAAGACGAAAGGAACAACTTCACAATGGCAGGCACAATGCGACATACTAAGAAGGACACGATACTAGAGATCAAGGTCCCAGTAAAATCTGTGGAAGACACATAGGAAAGCAATTCAGACTTGATAAAATCCAACAATTCAGGATTTTTTATGGGAGACATGGATATTGCAGCCTCAATTGAAGACTTAAGTGAAGACAATGCAAGCTCGGTTAAAGACGTGGATGGAGACAATGCAGACTCAGTGGAAGAAATGTATGAAGACAATGCAGACACGATGGCAGACTTGGATGGAGACATTGCAGAGTTAGTGGAAGACACATATGAAGACAATGCAGACTCCAAAGCAGACTCGTATGAAGAGATTGCAGACTCGATTGAGGAAATGAATGAAGATATAGTAGACACATTGGATAGCATGTATGAAACGCATGCAGACTTGGTGGCGATATTGGAGGAAGACATGTGTGAGGACAATGCAGACTCGAATGAAGACAATGCAGACTTAGTGGAAGACATGTATGAAGTACATGCAGAGTCGATGTCAGACTTGTATGAAGACATTGCAGACTCATATGAAGACATGTAGGATAATAATGCAGAGTGGATGGTGGCATAGTTCTTGTGAAACATGTATGAAGACAGTGCAGAGTCGATGGCAGACTCGGTTGAAGACATTGTAAAATCAGGTGGAGAAGACAATGCAGACTTGATGGCACACTTGTATGAAGACATTTCCAACTCAGCGGCAGCCATGTATAAAAATAATGCAGCCCAGATGGCAGACATTAATGAAGACATTGCAGAGTCAGTGGAAAAACTGTATGAAAGCAATGCAGACCGGACGGCAGACTTGGCTGAACACACTGTAGATACAGTGGAAGACATGTCTGAAGACAATACAGACTTGATGTCAGAATTAAATGCACACATTGCAGTCTTAGTGGAATATTTGTATGAAGACAATGCAGACTGGATGTTAGACTTAAATGAAGACATTAAAGACCTGGTAGAAAACATGTATGAGGATAATACAGACTGGATGGGCGACTTGGATGAAGACACTGAAGACTCGGGTGAAGACTTTGAAGACTCGGTAGAGAACATGAATGAAGCCAATTCAGACTGTATGGTTAACTTTAGTAAATTCATTGTAACTCAGCGGAAGATATTTTTAGACTCAGAGGGAAGATATATATGAAGAGAATGCCTAATTAACGGTTATCTTGAAAGAAGAGATTTTCGTCGAATTAATGGCATACACTATGGAAGACTCGCTGGGCGCAAATCTGGTGTATTAGGGCCAAAATGAAACGATTTCGATGCAAATGCATAAATCTATGTAAATTTTTGGAACAGAATGACTGTAAGTTGTTCTAAGTGATTAGAGACAGCTATAGATATTGGATAAGGGACTTCTTTATAATAAACGAGACCTATTCAAAGAGGAAACATACAACTACAATAAACAACAGCTAACTAAATATCTGAAGCCAATATACTTGAGAAACAGTTATTATTTTATATTGAACGTAGGTTACCAAAATAATGGTAAAATATGGTGAAATCTGTCTTTGATTACAGGAAGAATACTTAACGCTTGATAGCGAGGATGAAATAAAAAAGCCAATATCCTTGGAACATGAGGTCATCTATGTATTAAAAATATTCTGTAACTGCAGCTGTAGTCCTAGCCGAATTATTTTCTTTTTTTTTACTCTTCTAAAATAATTCCTTACACAGCCAAGATAATAGGAACACGGCAGAGAGTCTTGAGTCACTTTCCTTCACCGGGGTTCGTGGATCTGGAAAAAAAAAAATAAATAATAATAATAAAAAACATGAAAGAAGGTCAAACTCATCAAAGAACATCATCAAAACACATGTCAGAAATTTGTCAAACAAAGAACATCGTAAAAACACATGTCAGAAAGTTGTCAAACAAAGAACATCTTCAAAACACATGTCAGGCAGTAATCAAACAAAGAACATCTTCAAAACACATGTCAGGCAGTAATCAAACAAAGAACATCTTCGAAACACATGTCAGGCAGTAATCAAACAAAGAACATCTTCAAAACACATGTCAGGCAGTAATCAAACAAAGAACATCTTCGAAACACATGTCAGACAGTAATCAAACAAAGAACATCTTCGAAACACATGTCAGACAGTAATCAAACTCACCAAACAAATAACTTCATCAAAACACATGTCAGGCAGTAATCAAACAAAGAACATCTTCGAAACACATGTCAGACAGTAATCAAACTCACCAAACAAAGAACATCTTCAAAACAGATGTCAGGCAGTAATCAAACAAAGAACATCTTCGAAACACATGTCAGGCAGTAATCAAACAAAGAACATCTTCAAAACACATGTCAGGCAGTAATCAAACAAAGAACATCTTCGAAACACATGTCAGACAGTAATCAAACAAAGAACATCTTCGAAACACATGTCAGACAGTAATCAAACTCACCAAACAAATAACTTCATCAAAACACATGTCAGGCAGTAATCAAACAAAGAACATCTTCGAAACACATGTCAGGCAGTAATCAAACAAAGAACATCTTCAAAACACATGTCAGGCAGTAATCAAACAAAGAACATCTTCGAAACACATGTCAGACAGTAATCAAACTCACCAAACAAATAACTTCATCAAAACACATGGCAGGCAGTAATCAAACAAAGAACATCTTCGAAACACATGTCAGGCAGTAATCAAACAAAGAACATCTTCGAAACACATGTCAGGCAGTAATCAAACAAAGAACATCTTCGAAACACATGTCAGGCAGTAATCAAACAAAGAACATCGACTAAAGCATGTCAGAAATTCATCAAAGATCAGCATAATATAAGCACATGTCAGAAGGTTGTCAAACTTTCAAACAAAGAAAACCATGAAATCACATGTACGCCAATTATCAAAATAAAGAACACCACGAACTCACAAGTCAGACAGTTGAACATTTATGTCTCACTCCTTTATAGCACGCATGTACAAAGACATGTACAAAGACATGTACAAAGACATGTACAAAGACATGTACAAAGACATGTACAAAGACATGTACAAGGGGCATGCACAATGACGAAATGGGGCTTTGGTAGACTTATTAAAACAAACACACTACGTGTTATTGTGTACATGAGTTAGGGACTTAGGATAAGTTGTTGTGGTGTCCAGTGTTATTGTGCACATGAGTTAGGAGCATAGGATAACCAGTCGTGGTGTTCAAATTGCATTGTGTACATGACTTAGAATAACAAAATAATGGTGTTCAAACTGTATTGTGTTCATGTATTTAGTTTAAGGAGGAACATCAGATCAGGTTAGGTATATATCAAAATTCCCCCCCCCCCAAGTAGGACACTTTCGGGTGCAGCTTTAATAAGACCCCTGATATGGTATTGACAAGTATGAGACAGGTTTAATTTGTTATGATTTCTTTGTTCATCCTGTTTATATTGTTTGCTCTATTTTTGAATGTTTATATAGTTTAAAAGAGAGCTTAACAAAGATAGAACAACCCAGGTATTTTCCAAAGAGGATGGGATATATGGTTCATAGCCCCCTTGATGATATACTGAGGTATTACACAAATCGCTAACCATTACTTGACGTAGCGCTCATTAAATCTCCGACCCAAAATGTTTCCCGTGTGCAACTTATCCGTCTACGTCCAGAGATTACAGGTCAGAAACCGTCGCCCGTGAGATAAGACACAGATGGAGCTACCTGTCATTATCTGTACCCTAATCGTGCCATAATTATTACCTTTGTCTATTAGACGGAAAATATGATGCTTTTAGACTCGGTGAAGAATACAAAACATAAAGCCAGTGGTTCTAAAACCTTCTAACGTCACCAACCCCGCAACTCGTTTGGCGATTTCTTTTGCTTGCATCGTCTTCACATTTGGAATTCACTTTAGGTTTGTTCCAAATCTCATCTCCCGAACTTGCAACCGACCCACAAACCTATTTTGTTTACGGGGCAGACTTTAGGTTTGTTCCAAATCTCTTCTCCCGACCTTGCAACCAACCCCCCAACCTATTTTGTTTACGGGGCAGACTTTAGGTTTGTTCCAAAATCTCATCTCCCGACCTTTGAACCCACCCACCAACCTATTTTGTTTACGGGGCAGACTTTAGGTTTGTTCCAAAATCTCATCTCCCGACCTTTGAACCCACCCACCAACCTATTTTGTTTACGGGGCAGACTTTAGGTTTTTTCCAAATCTCATCTCCCGACCTTTCAACCCACCCACCAACCTATTTTGTTTACGGGGCAGACTTTAGGTTTGTTCCAAAATCTCATCTCCCGACCTTGCAACCAACCCCCCAACCTATTTTGTTTACGGGGCAGACTTTAGGTTTGTTCCAAAATCTCATCTCCCGACCTTTCAACCCACCCACCAACCTATTTTGTTTACGGGGCAGTCTTTAGGTTTGTTCCAAATCTCATCTCCCGACCTTGCAACCCACCCACCAACCTATTTTGTTTACGGGGCAGACAGTCACGCGTTAAAAATCCTATTCGTAAGCAGTCCAACAAATAAATTGTCTTACAAAGTTTTGAAGTTCACCATTTTTCACTTGCATCTTCCTTTAAGGAAACAAATAATTAAATGTTCAGTTGAACAAATATGATTTCGTATAAACTTCTGTTCGTACTAGCTTCCGTTCTAACAACGTTCTTTCCTACAAGCTGTTTTCGAACAAATTGGTTTCAAACTAAATGTGTTTCGTACTAACTCCCTGTAACCGTTTAAACCAGGGCTGCCGGAAACCAATCTATGTTTGGTAAGGTGACACTGATGTGTTTTAACCAGGGTTGAGATGTCAGAGAAACCATAGAAATGCTCCTATGCTCATTCACTAAGCAGTTGTTTTCATTGAGAAAATTTCTTATTAAAAAGTATAATTTTAAACAAATAACTGAAATGACGTTAATAGTTTTATAAATTCCGACATTTTAGAGAGAGTTATCCTTGAAGAATTCCTAGAAATTCCATATCATTTTATCTACCAATTTGCCGGCAATTTAAGCAAAAAAAAACACACAAAAAAAACTACAAATAAACTATAAAGGACAACACTAAAGGAAATTTGGTAAATTATAATCCTTATAAAACATTGGATAATAATAAAAGAATCCATAAATTGGACTTGCAGCTTTAAAACAGAGTTAAAGGACCAGACGCGACTGAAACTCCCCCATCACCCCACAAAAAAACAACAACAACAAACAAGCTCCCTCACACACACACTTTATTTTCTCTTTTCGACACCCCAAACTGCACTAATTAATCCCAGAGTAAGATACGAAAGTAACATGCAAATGTCTGGGTACGCCGTGGTGAACAGGTGACTTGATACAGATCCATTGGGAAAGGCATTATTTAGGTTCGAGTCCATTGACTTGTAACAGGGGGTGGGGGGGGGGGCACTGTTCTTTGAGGGGTGAACATTATTTATAAATTATATTATCTGCTATGAAAATACTCTGGGGGCCGCATTGTTTGAATATTGTCATAAGGGGGTCGTTCGCAAATTACGTCATCCTCGGGGGAGGGGGGGGGGAAGAAGGTGTCCACAATTTGTGACACTTTGTGACGGGGGGGGGGGGAGTTCAAAAATTTATGACGTCACAAATTTTTTTTTCTTCTAAATAATTTTAAAAACACTAATTTGAGGTCGTTATTGTCTCAGGTATTATAGGTACTTAAAACTCAGTCGAGCACACCTGCGCATATCGAACAATAACGCAAAAACTGTTGTGGCCATTTTACATTCGGCTTCGGAAGGACTTCGTTGTTTTGTGTTTTACGTCACAGTTTTCTAATAATACTACATCTAAATCCATTATGGGAAAATGTTAAAGAATAAAATAAAACCTTAGTTTTAAGTGTTTTTAAATGTTTATATATTTCAACAACAAAAAATAATTATTATTCCGGAGTCACGTGTTTCCGACCAAAGCTGTTTCCTTGTAGCTGTATTTCAATCGGTAATATACAACTGGAGAGAACAAGGATGTCAACTCCTTCCTCCCACGACTCTGCTCCACCTCACGCCACGATAAGGTTGATAAACATTTTTGAAGAGTATCTTATCTTTCCCATTTGCTGGTTTCATAGAGTCACTATGTTATCTCAATTCATATATAACCGGAAAAAAAAAAGGTGGGGGGGGGT